TAAAAATTATGTAATATTTACACTTGATGTAATAATTGCATAATTTTTGTATGCTTATTTGCATAATATTACAGGCCCGCTGTAAACTTATGTAAATAGTGTAATAATTACATAAATCTGCATCAGAAAAATTTCCTGATGTATCATTTGCTGTTTGACATAAATCTTCTCCATCTCTATATTCTGGAGCTGCAATATTTAATGGAATTCTATAACAATAATTGCAATAATTATTTAGTCAATAATGTTTAACTACCATGCTTGAGTCAATTCAATTAGTCTATTACTACTATACCTTAATTCTCCAATCTTGGCAACTTCTTCAAAGTCAATTAATATCCAACTATCATTTGTAAGTCTTTTAATATTTTCCCAGCAAATATCCTGATGGACAACTTTCATTTCATGAAGTTTTTTTACAATTTCAAGTATATTAAAAATATGGTGGTTTGCAGCTCATCTTCATTTGTAGGAATTGCTTCATATCCAATTCTAAATATACCAAGTTTCTAGTAGTTTTGTAATTAATTTTCTTGTATTGTCCTAAGTGTGGAAAAATGTTATAATAAAATTCCTTGTGGAAATCTATATCAGTAATGAAACTCTTGTTTATTTTTTTGATGATTTTTTGGGGGAGTGATGTAATTGTACCATTTGTTCGTTGGATTACATCAAATAACTTTAATTTTGGAGTTTGTAAATATTGATAATGATTCAAAGTTTGAAAAATTCGAATAAAATTGATTGTATATTGAAGTGCCATATAATTGTATAATCAATTTTGAGTTCCAAGTGCTAGGAGGGTACCAATTTTCTTATGTACTGGTTTATTGTTTATGTTGTCCACATAATAATAATAAAATTGCAATTTTGTACCAGCTGCTGCAAAAGCCATGATAAATGGTAATCTACCAAAGGCAAGTGGGTTCCAAAAATCAAAGTATTCATCTAAGTCTTTTTCTGCATCTTCCAATCAATAATTAACATCTTTCTCCTCACCCATCATTACAAGCACTCTATTATAATAGATTGTGACATCTGGTCGAACTCTCTTATTTTCTGTGGTAGTAGTTGTAGGTTTAATAACCTTGTTACAATTCCAATCGAAATTACTACAACCAAGAGCATACTCTTGGGCAAGACCAATCATATCCATAATGTGGTTATTAATAGTATTTGAAGTATATGCTTCTCCACCAACACTTTCTCTAAAGGACTTGCCCATGACATTAACAAGGATACTAGATATCCTAGGAACATAAAAAGGATTTGAATATACAGATTCAAGTTTATCAGGAAAGCTGTCAGCATAACTGGGAAGAGATGGCAATTTAAGTAGTAGTGGTTTTGAAAGGAATTGTTCAAGATTATTACAACTAATTTCCTCATCAAAAGGATGCAAGAGTTTTCCTAGGAAATCCATTGTGTTATCTAAATAGTTAAGTGACAAATAATCATTATTATAATATGTGAGTCTGTGAAGGAAAAAAAGAATATTAACATTAAAGATCAAATAAAAATTATGCTAAAGCCTAAAAAAACATATGCATAAAATCCAGAACTTTACCTTCAAGTTTTATCTTTTTATTTGATAAGTCAGAGGCTAAAAATAATGAAAAAAGAATAATTTGTCAAAAAAAAGAAGTTAGTAAAAAGTATAATGAATGGAAAATAAATTTTTTATATTTTTCTACACAATTTGTTCATTACCTTCTTTACCAAAATTAACTAAAGCATTTTGCAAATTCAATTGGTGATGCTTTTATAATGTTCCAATACAAGGTGGGATTATTTACCTTGTTTTAATGTCAATGAGAGAAAAACAAAGACTTATAAAACATATTAATATCCTTGAATTTGTTCAAAACTCAAACAACATTTTCTTATTGATAAGTAATGATCTTGCATAAAGGAGAATTTTCTTTGTAGTAAAAAAAAATTGTAATAATAAAATTATTTTCCTTCTAAGGGTTTCTGCTTTTTGTTAGATAATAGCACACTTTCATTTTGTTTTCTTTTTCTAACATTTATTATTTTTCTTTCTTCTTGGTAAATTTCATAAGTAATCCTTTCTTTGTCTAAATACATTTGCAAAGATTTGGCATCTGCTAATTTAAAAATGTAAGGAGCAATTTTTTCACCTTGTTCTTTCTTCAGAATACTTCTAATAGTGCTGTAATTTTTGGGTTCCATAGTAGACTTGATATAAATTAACTTCATATTAACTAATTTTATATAGAGGTAATTCTATATATCACTTAACAAATTATAATCACATTACAAATTTTGATCCCTGAAATCCTTAGTAACACCAATGTTCACTTTGTCTGATTTTGTTGCAGCATGCCCCAAATAGTCTCTATTATCTTTAATGTTGCTTTTTCCAACATTTTATCAGAGATAACTTTTTTCATTGCAGATGAACATCTGGATATTCAATTTCGAATGGTTTCTACTTTTGGAATTTATTCAAGTGTAAAATTATTATTATTATTTACTTCTTCAACAAGTTCCTGCTGTGTATCTTTGGCTTTTATCATCATCTTTTCAACCACTCACCAAGTTTATAAAGGTAATATTGGTAAAAAAATCTTAGCTTTGAAGTAAAAAGTAATGCTGTTTTTGAATAAATATAGCTTGACATAAAGAGCCTCTATGAGATATTTTGAAAAACTGATTGGTTACACGAGTCGGATTTTTTATTTTTATATGGGGTCTGTACTAGGAAAATCAAGCTTCCAGCTATTTTTTTTTTTTTGTCTTTTTACTCAACAATAATCTCTAATAAAGGACCCTGTTTGCATAGTAGAAAAATGAGATACAAGGTTTGGAATATTTTCTTTATATATTAATAAAAACATGTGTGACCAAATTTATAAGGGTTGTTACTAAAAATAGATTTTTTGTCTGGAAACCCCATATAGACAAGAATTTAAATAGGAAAAATAATAAGTAAAAGTTACACACGCCTTTCGTTTTTTATAATAATAATATATATTTATTAATTACACTTCTCGTGACATTTGTTTGACTATAATAATAATTCCCTTTTATGTCGACAATTTACAGTATAAAGGGTTTCAAATGGTTTTTTTGTGTATTCTCTCTTATATACTAGACAATGTTTAAATTTGCATTCCTTAATTATATATATATTTTTTTAATCAGTTTTCATTGTGTAGTAACAGCATATCAATTCTCATTTTCTAATATAGAAAATGATCCTTTCAAGCAAATAACTAGTAAAACTTTTCAATTGAAACACGTTTTTCATCATGGTGTTGATACTTTCGCAGACAATTTATTCATTCGTTTAGACATTGATGAAAATAAAAATTGGGTTTCTACTTATATTATTGATGTTATTGAAGCTTCAATGTTGCATTTTAAAGAAATTTTCATGTCACTTTTAAATAAGAAAACTAAAAGTTTGCCAAACCCAAAAGATAAAAAAATAATTCTTGGCTTAGCAAAAATGTCATATGATGCATATATTGATTTAGACGAAACAGAACAATGGGTAATTTTGAGTGGAAGTTGGGATGTAAGTATAGATAAATAAAAATAAATAAATAATTTTCCAAAAAACTTTTTCACCACACACACAAATTCACATTCACAATAGAAACTACCATTTGGATGGAAAGATAACGGAATTAGAGGTTATGTTTATGCAGATGAATCAAATTCAACAGTTATTATTGGTATAAAAGGAACTAGTATAAATTGGATTGACGGAGATGCGCCAACAGCAGGAAATGATAAATATATTGTAAATATTTTATTATTATCATCATTATCATTATCATTACCATTATCGTTATCGTTATCGTTATTGATTTAATTGATTAATTTAGGATAATTTGATGTTTTCATGTTGTTGTGCAAAAGTTGATTTTCTTTGGAATGGTGTTTGTGGCTGCCATATCGAAGGTCAACAATGTAATTCAACATGTATAAGTAGCGAAGTTTATCAAAAGAATACTTATTATAGTAATGCTTTGGTAAATATTATATTTATATTATTGTCATTGTTGTTGTTGTTGTTGATTAATGTGAATTTGAATTTGAAAAGAGAATTTATGAAGAAACCCAAAAAAATTATCCTAATTCAACAATATGGTTGACTGGTCATTCACTTGGTAATAATTAATTTTTAATATGAAAAATATATAATATGCTTTTTAATATTTAAAAAAAAAATCATTATATACTTTATGATAATAGGTGGATCACTTGCTTCACTAGTTGCGCTTAAATATAAAGTTCCTGCTGTAACATTTCAAGCTCCTGGTGATTTATTATATGCTAAGCGTTTAGGTTTAGATACAACTGATTCATATAAATTACCGATATACCATTTTGGTCACACAGGGGACCCTGTATTTATGGGCGAATGTAATGGAATAGCTTCTACATGTTATCATTTTGGATATGCCGTAAATATATTTGGTTTTTTTATTTATTTTATATAATATTAATAATATTAATATTAATAGATTTTGAAATGAAATAAATGTATTTAGATGGAGACAAAATGTCATACAGGAAATACTTGTTCATATGATACAATTTCTAAATTTGGATGGAGATCAGAAATCAAGAATCATTCATTACTTTTATTCATTAAAAATGTTATTGAAAAATGGATTGGTGATGATGATAATGATGTTGTAGAATGTGATCATGACGAGTATTGTGAAGATTGTGGTTCTTGGGAATTTTCATAATTATTATTTTGTAATTGAAAAAATTAAACTTTTGGTGACTTCAACATTCATTCATTTTTATGCTATTCATAACTTTAATATTATCTGAAATTATTTTTGTGAATTATTTTCTACCCGAAGCCTCTTCATCATTCAACTATACACTTTTCCTCCCCTTATTACAATGTGTTAGACATTTCTACAATATTTTTAACTGATAAAGGTCTCAATTCCCCATGAAATTCATATCCAATGCGACAATCGATTTTTGGGTAACACGAATTTCATAATAAACATATTAGCCGATTTGGTTTTTTGGATCCTTTTTTTTCAAACCTTATATATATATCTAGACGTTAAACACGTTAAACATGATGTGTAAACTGGTCAATAGAATGATAATTAACCCCCAAAAAATTTATTTGCTCCGCTAAAAAAAAACTATTTTACTATTCGATCAAACCAATGGCCCCGCCTCAAAACCAATGGGGCACTGGATTTTGGGGTTCAAACAAAATCAGCGCATATGAAGTAAAGAATGATCAATTGAGCTTCCTCAGGCAATCATATCAGAGGAGAAAACTCTTACCATACCATCACGGAGTCCTTTGACTTTAATTTATTATAATGGAAACAGGACAAATTTCATTATATACTTATAACATAAAGAGGTTTATATTATATCGAGCAATTTATGTTATGATCCACTCAGGCACTCAGGCTTACCATATCAGAGCCGACTGTTTATTATTATCAAAAATTGCATATCCTAAGTCCAAGTAAAATTGTTTGTATAACCGGTGAAAACTTACGAGTGCTGTTTTCCTTAAAGAAACTTAAAATGTATAATTAAAATTTCAAAATGTCAAATAAAATAAAAACATAATTGGTGAAGAATGTTTCTTATGATATAAGGAAATACGATAAAAAACATAATTTTATATGATGAAAAAAAAAGCACGCACAAAAAATTACATAATCACAAACATTGTTTAATCGTATATAATCTACGTCCTATATATTAATATACAAAGAATTCTTCGATTAAATATTTCGAATTTTCTTAAGATGCATATTAATACGTATAGAGAAATAGACCTTTTCTACCTTAATTTATTCAGTCACCGCAGCCACCACAGTCACCGCAACCACCACAGTCACCGCAACCACCACAGTCACCGCAACCACCACAGTCACCGCAACCACCACAGTCACAACATCCTGAACAATCGCAACATCCTGAACAGCCACCACTTCCTGAATAGTCACCACTTCCTGAACAGTCGCCACTTCCTGAATGGTTTCTATGTCCTGAACGATTACAACATCTTGAACAGATTCCGGAAAATAGATAAACGTCGGAACAACAGTCATGACACGCACAACACATTGGAGCATCACAGGCGATGATGCAGCAATAACATCCACAAATGACATTACACCTTTCTTCTCCTTCCTCAACGCATTTAATGCCACATTTACAGCAGCACATATTAATTACTCTAACCAATGATCTAATGAATGATCTAAGCGAATTATATAAACTATTGATCAAAAGACCACAATAATAAAGCATATAATGTAAATCAATGAAATCTACTAAATCCAGCAAGGGAATAAGTAAGGAAGCAAATCCATTACTACCATGTTTATGAGTGTATTTTGATGATAAAGAAAATTGTTGTTCGTCTGATTGTTCTTCTAATTTTGCTGTGGTTTTATAATAGGACACAAATCTAATTATCATTAAAAATGTTGAAATTAGCAATAATGAAGCTTCAATCTTAAACTGAATTGTTTTAACATTAAAAATATCAACTTCACTAATACTACTACTGCTATTGCTACCACTATTGTTATTAATAGTGTAATTCGATTTTTTTATTATTCCTAATAATGTACTGAATTCAATTGGTTTCCGAGAGATTATAAATGATTTAACTAGAAAATAAATTGGCAATATTAAACTTGTATTATCTGATACGTTTGATAATTCAAAAATTTGAAGTAAAGATAATCTTTTTCTTCCATAAAGAATATAAAATTCCTTTTTTGCTTTAAATTTAAAAAAGATTAGGGAATTAGGAAACAGATTATTAAGATACAATATATACAGTACATAACTAAACACACACCTAATATTATTCCGGCTTTTTCTTTAAAATTCAATAGTAAACCATTTTTTAATTTTCTCATTGATTCATTGAGTTGAACAATACCTAACATTCTTACCAAAATTTCAACAATAATATATATCAAAATCATTTCTTTAGATATAAATGTGAAATTTGGTATTTTTGCATTCTAAGTTATTAAACGATTATATTAATATTAAACTTAATTTCGAAAAAAAATAGTTTTATTTAACGAGTAAAAAATATTAATATATACTTTGATAATCATATGACACAATACGATACTTCCAACTAACATAACTAGATTTAAAATCGCTACGAATGCATTATATAAAATATTTAAAATATAATTTACGATAATTTTATTATCATTATAATAATTCTCATTTTCATTATTGTTGGCTTCGTGAATATTTATTATAGTATCTTTTAGTTTTAACTTTTTTAAATCATCATCATTGTCGTCAACATTATCATGTTTTTTCATCGAATTTGGTTCATAAGTATATTTATTTTGATCCATTTTTTTTTTTTTTTTAAAGATAAAAATTATATACACATTTATCTATATATTTTACATATTTTGGCTTAGACAATCAATCTCTAAGCCTTCCTTTCCTTATTGACATAATTTTAGAACTCTTCAATGATCCACACAATGTATGCTCACTATTACTATCTATATATTAATTAATATACAAAAATGATTGAAAAAAATTCTCAATTAATTAGTAAACCAATTAACCAATCAACCTTAACCAATCAATTAATCAATCAATAAAAGTTGTATGCAAAAATTTGTAATCAAATAGTGCTACTACGAATAATACAACTTCTTCTAATATTAACCATAGCAGTTTAAGAAGAAGTACAAGCGAAATTGCAAGCTAGAGAACAATCAAATTTTTTACCAAATAAATTTACCTCAGAATTTTCATTTCAAAATTTAAGCCACACAAATGGTTTTTAATGACAGTAATACTAGTGATGTTGTTTCTTTTGGTCAAATAACAGAAGAAGAAGAAGAAGAAGAAGAAGAAGAAGCAGAAATAAAAGAAACAATTTCAATGCCAATAGCAGTAACTACAACAACTCCAGAAAGAACATCTCTAACAAAAGTAACACTCGAACTTTTTACAAAAATTGGTGAATATTTGAATCACGATCTGGGCATAAAATCTGTTGACTATGTTTACGATTTTCTTTGTAAAGTTAAAGATGTATCAAGGAATAATCGAGAACATATTATCAATATAATAAATCAAACGCGTGATCCGGTAATTTTACAAAAGCTAGTAAAAGAAAGATGTAGTTATATTTTAAGAAATTGGATAAAAGAAGAGGCAAAGTTTCCTGATAGCTATTTACTTTTTAAACTATTGAAAACTGTACAACATCTATCAATTGATTTGGAAATGTCGACAAGTTGTGGTCTGGGCAGAGTTGTCAATAATAAATTGGTAAAGGAATCGAACATACCAGGTGTTGCCGAGGTCGCGTCTGATTTATTGAACAGATGGTTACAAGATGCTAAAAAAATGCCTGAATCTACTGCCGGAAATAATATCCTTGTTCCCGCAAAAAGTTCTAAATCAAATGATAATGGTTCAGTAACGACCGAAATAAAAAAAGAACCGACTAATTCTGTTGTAAAAGGTATTTTTGATGATATATTTGATCTTCCTTCCACCTCCACAACTTCTCCCTCATCTTTTATGGTCGATCATCAGTCATTAAAAAATGCCAATACAAATATTCAGACAAAAACTAGTAACGCTGCTATTACTACCATCATCACATCATCGTTATTGCCGTCATCATCTCCTGTTGGTGGAAATCAAATTGAAACATGCAAACCTTCAACCCTTTCAAAGAAAAGGAAGCGTGTAAGCTTTGCCCCAGATTTTATGCTTGCACAAGTAAAATATTTTGGAAATGAACGTTCTGATGGTATAAAAGATGCTACATTAAGCACCATTGGTAGTGGTTGTTCTTCTCGTGATATTGAGGATGTTAGAGACCTCGATCGTCGTGAGAGAAAAGTTGCTTTGAAAAGATTACGAAAAACACCATACACAAGATGGTATACTCCATTATTCATAAGGTCACGACTAACTAATAAGAAGAAAAAGAGAAAAAAGATATGGGATTCTAATGTTATAGTGGATAGCCTAGAGGCAATAATTCAAAAAAGTCGCGAAGAAGAAACTTTAGAAGTTATTTATCCTACGGTTGATCAAGTTCCTGAAAACCCATACGAATCGCAAGACTTACTATTCGCCGTCTCAACATCTAAAACGATAGAGGGTCCCATAAAAATTCCACTTGATCCAGATGGACCAGCTAACAATCAGCTAACTCAAAGACGTGAATTGAAAAAGGCTATAACAAATACCTATTCTATGTGGTTTGAAGCTCATCCTAACGAAATGCCACCCATTGCAACTGTTCAACAACTTCCAAATCCTAATACATGGAGTTATGAGCCAAACCAAGACATTTCCGATGATTTTAATGTTGGTTTGGCAGCAATGCCAATACCAGGAAGAATTGATGCTGCTAGTAGTAAGAATAATAATAACAATCAAATTATTCCAAATTATTATGATTCAAATGCTTCTATTTCTACTCCAGACTTAGTCCCTCCATCACATTTACAACAACGACCATTACAACCTCCAACACCATATCAATCGCAACCATATCAATTACCAAAATTTTCACAACCAAATCAACCATCATTTCAATTTCCTTGTTATGATGATAATAATAATTCTGCTTCAAATGTTCAACCAAACTATTGTCCATTACCGGCATCGCCTACACAGGACCCACAGGACCTTAATAGTAAAGTATTTGTTTCATCACAATTCCAATTTTCTGCCCAGTATCAATTGCCTTCAGCTACACAACCTTCGAAATTTATTAATATTGCTAATGGTGTTAATAATAATGATCAACAAAACCATCAACAACAATCACAATCAACTACAACTGCTACAGCTACTGGTACAAATCTTAATACAAATAATAATAAGAATAACGACAACAACAACAATAATATTAGAGGAGGTAGATGTGATTTGGTTGGAACTAGCAACGGTAGACCAGTTAGTGGAAGAGGATCAGAATGTTGGTATTATAAATTTGGGAAGTGTATTCTAGGTAATGATTGCAGATTTCTTCATACGGGTTGATAATTATAAATTTTTTAAATTTTTTAATAGTGAAACTATCAATCAATAATAATAAGAATATAAAAATTTTTTTTGTTATTAGATTAAATTAGATGATTTGCTAGCATTTTATTTTTTTTTTCAAAAAAAAAAAAAAAGTGATTAATGTATAAAAATTTCAATATTTTTGATATATTATAACGTATATTTGCATGAATCTCTTGATATAATATTCATTCTAGAAAGGTAACGAAGAAAAAATATTGTTTTAAATTTTTATTAATAATCCCCCCCACTCGATAAAAAATAAAAATGAATATTATTACCTTTGTTAGTGTTGTCATTATTTTCATTATTGTTATTAATCCAACTACCACTACCACCATTACTACTTGCATCACCGCCATTGCTACGAACACTGCCGCCATAAAAACTATAATAAAGAGTCGGCACCAAAATTGCAACTACAGTGAAACCTTGAGCACCGACACGAAGTCTCATCATTTTTTGCATTTTAGCTGAATCGCCACGTTGAAATGCTGCAGCACTAGCAACCAAAGCACCAATTGTCACGGTAAGACCTTATGTTGAATAAAAAGAAATAAGAGAATTATTATTATTATAGTAGTAGTAATAGTAGTAGTAATAATTAAATTAGGATGATAAATTAAGAAAAAGGTATGAAACAAGCGAACCAACAACAACCAATGGATTTTCTTTAAGACCACGAATGAATCGATTGTCTTTTTTTCCACTATTACTGCTAATGATAACACTATTATCATAATTAAAACTGTTTGCGTTCCTTGATGATGAATTTGAGTCTGGTAATGACATTTTTTTTGCTTGAAATTCTTTTTATATGAATGAATGAATGGAATGAAAATGAATGAATGCGTTTTGTGAAAAATTCAGATTTCAAAAAATCGGGATTTATCAGTGGACATTTGATTTCATTGGCAGAATTTTGTGACGATTTCCCCTTCCAGATATCACGCAAAAATTAAAATTTTATTGGCTTGAAAATAAAAATAATGGTATCGGAGGAGGTAAAAGTAGTTACATAAAATCATCATATCTATTATATATTAACAATAAATTTACACTTGTTAATAAAAATGATCTATTATTTATTATTATTATATAAACATAATTAATTGGAGCAATGACATTTTTTATGTTAATAACATTCTCTTGATTAATCAAAACGTATAAGCGACCTACTTTTCAAACAATTCTCTTGAATAAAAGAAAATAATAATTAACACTCAAATAATTAAATCCAATACCCAAAACTATTTTTGTCAGTAAGATTGCCTATTCAATCTGATCCACATATACACATAAAATAATTTTGTTTGTTATCAATCACCTTTTTTTTTGAATCATTATTATCTGTTGAAGAGAATTTTTAGCAACTAAATTACAGATATATATATTATACATATGCATTGATGGCCATTGTAATACTGCTAGTACATTGGTCCCCTAAAAGATATATATATATATATATATACACACATGTGTGTTTAAATAACTCTTGCACTATATATAAAATAAAATAAAAAATTATCCAAGAATTTAGTATATCAAGTTTATTATAACAAAAAATCTTGATTACAATTCATAATAATATTTATTTACAGGTAGCCTTCTCCTATTTTCTTTCTCTCCATTTTTCATTCATATTATTTTATGTGATTAAAATTACAATGCTTACCAGCTGGTTAGTTCTAAACTACCATCTAATAATAACTATGATTATTGTGATCAAAGAGGATGAACAAGAAGGTGGTAACGTTAATATATGGTCATGCTTATCATCATAAATGTTTGGAATTTTATAAAAAGGATGTTGTCTCATGTAAAATCCTATATAAATAGATGAGAAAAAGATAATGATTTGTTATTTGATGAAATATTAAACGAAGAAAATGAAGATGACAATAGTGAAATAACAGATGATTTCAGAAATGCTTTAGTATTGGTAAAATTTTAAATAAACATATTATAAAACAAGATGTACGATTCTGAGCCTAGAATGTCTTACAATATACTCAAGTCGATCGCTGAAGCCCGAAATTACAGTTCCTATATAACCCTTTGATCGTTTGATCATTTTTTCATTGTATCTCAGGTTAAACAAGTTTTTGTGCCCTAATAAAAAAGATCAACAATTGCTTTACAGTGATACAAAAATTATTTTCCAAAATGCCAGTTCCTTTCGAAGCGATTATACCTTTAGGTAATAACAATTTATTCATTTTCTCATTTATTATTTGTTAAACCAAATTATGAAACAATTTATATATGTGTATATATTTGTTAGGTATAATAATGGGAATGTTTGGAGTTACTGGTACATTAATAAATTTATCTAGAAGATATCAACATGATTGGAAGGTAAACAAATATTTTTTGAATTTAAATTTTTGTTCCTAGTTATTATTATCATTATATGATTTTACTACTTATAATATTTATTATTATTAATATATTTTTATTCATTGTAGCCGGAAAGATTTCAATTAGATCGTTGGGATAAATTGATGATGGAGCGTGATAGAAGATTAACTGGAAGCCTTTATGGACAAACTGTTTAGTATTATTTTCAATTATTTTGTTATTAAAAAATTTTTTTTCATAATTTATAAATTTATAATTATATATATTTTCCACAGTCAAATCCAACAGCTCCACCTTCATTTTCTACAAATAGTGTTTGGTATTTGAGTAATAAATTCATATAATCATAAAGAGAATAAATTCAAGATAAATTTATTAAATTATTATAAAAATTATAAAGTCAATATTTGATACAAATTAACACATACAGTAAATTATCATTTCAACATGGATTATATTTTCTAATAATAAAAAAAAGATATCACATTATAAATAGTTAATTATCATTATTATATCTTCTGATGAAACTTCATATGGAAAACTGGGCTATAATGGACTAAAATCTGATATAGAAAGCTTTGAAAAAAAAAAAAATCCCGGAATGACTAAATGATCCAGAACTGTGATATGTGTCCCAATACGAATATTTATAATAAAAAAGCTTATTCTTAATATTCTTACCCCCCTCCTCTTGAACCTTCAAATTGTATACCGCCATTTTTGTATATTAACTAGATCTCAAGAAACACAACATTGTGATAGCGAGTGAGGTTATTTTGATAGTGTGAAAGTAAAGGCACAGGTGGTAATGATGTAGGTAGCCTTAGTGACATTACCTTGCAATAAATTCCACTGGATCATTTTTGTGAATTCTTCTTGCCAATCTTTTCATTTAGAAGTTCATAGAACAACCAAGACAACACCTAATTTGTTAAAAGAACAATTAATTCAAACATTTTATCCTGAGCATCAAACTCATGAGTTATTGTTATCTCACAGCTTACAACAACAGGTCAGTGAAAGTAATGGTATCACAAATGGAAACAATGGCTACAAGTTCTACTGCCAATTCATTAATGAGATTTAAAGAAACAATGAAACTTATCATTCTCAACCATACCATGTAATGCCATCTAGAGATAGCTTATATTCCCTCGGATCATCAACAACAAGCGGATGAATCGTCATCTTTTTCAAGTCCATCCTGAGGAGCTTCCACTTGCATGTACTAGATCATCCACAAGTTCGCCTAATCAACAATCACTTCCTCCTTATCAATAGTAATACGTTTATCTATTTATTATTGAAAATCAAAGTGTATTGATTTATCATTCTAATTATCGTCATATATATAATATAAACTACAATATCATTAAATAAAATATTCCTTAAGTGAATAATTATTTTTTCTAACCATTAAATTTTATACAGCGTAGGATAGCGACGAACTGTCATAGTTTCATACAGCGAGGAATCGGTATTGTATAGAATTGAAGTGATAGTGATATTTGCGGAAAGAATTGAAAGCGGTTTGTGAAATGTATATTACTGAAAGGTTTAAACAGAAGATTTAGATGCTTTGATAATCCGAGGTTCAGGTGGTGATACTAATGTTAAAAAGTCAAATAATCAGGAAGGAGCTTTCAAAAAAAAAGGTTAATGTTAAAATATGAATGGCCAAAAGACAAGGAAGGAATTTTAATGTTTTATGGAGAATCAGAATTGTTTCAATTTGTGGGAAATGGTATTTACCGGATTATCTTTTTGTTGCTGTTGAGAAGAATGAGTTAGTTTTTAAAATTGTCGCATGTTCAAGTTATCAAAATTTAGTTGTAGGTGATTTACTTCCTTCCATTTATTATGTGATAATATCCAAATAATGTTAGCAAACGGAATATTATCAAAATAGGGTTACGTAATGCAATGGATAATAATGTTGGAGGGGATGTGGTTAATAATAAAGGGTAAAATGAATTTTAATTCCAATCAACCAAGCCTAATTTCTTTTTTTATGATTAAATGCTATAATATATGTACACACACATACTAAAAAAATCAAAAATTAGTGTCACACGAATTTCTGCATGAATGAATGAATTTAAAAGTTCATTTTACAAAGTAATGGGAAAAAAATATATGTAAAGAAATAAATATTTAGCACAAATGAAAATGAAGATTCCAAAGCGCTATCCTCTTGTTCTAACTTTCTCTTCCTATTCATCAACATCCAATTATTCCAATTTGATATGTTTAAATTCCATCTTTAATTTCAAAGACCTTAACCAATATGACAATCTAAGTTCTTTTGCTTTGAAATAAAACAAATCTGATTTTGTGATAGTATTGTCATCATTATTATCATTATTTTCAGTATGCAACCTTTTCAGATGGTTCTTCTTCTTTGAAATTTGTCCGACGGCTTTGGGATTCGAATATTTTGAAATTATTTTTTTAAGTTCTTTTAAAAGTTTATCTAAAGATCTGTAAAAACGGATGTAATCTTGTTTTTCAATAATTTTTGGTTTGATGAGCGAACATGAGAAGTTTAACGGCGTGTTTAAATAAGTTTGAATTGTTGCGTCCATTCGTTTTATTTCATTTATAAGCTTGGTTTTGTTCATCTTTAAGTATTTGGATAATTTATTTCTTTGAGTTTGTTTATAAAATACGTTAAATGTATGTTTAAAAACTGTTTAAAAGGGTTTTCTGTAATTACTATATTGATATTAGGTAGGTGACAAGTTTATTTTTTAAAATTTATTGAATTTTTCTAAATTAAAAAAAAACCAAAACGAAGAAGGGAATTATTTATATTATTATTTTTATTATTTTTATTTATTGTCAAAAATATATCACAAAGTATGCTGCAAATTCTCATCGTACACGTGATTTTTAACAAAAAACATCATTTTTAAAAATTAGAAATTTCCCTGAAGATCTCGCTAAAAAAGGCAAGTGAAGTCCTTTCTGGTCTTTTTTTCCGCGAATTTTAAATCATACGAGTTGTTAGAGGATTGTGGAGTGTCCTATATTAATTAATCGTCAATTATCTTATAGTTATAATTAATTCATTCCTCCTTCTTCAATTCACTTCTCCAATTCTTCAAATGAATCGAAAAATGGAATCACAGAAAAAAGGGCAATAATCTGAAACACACACAATCAATTCTTAAAAATTTGAATGAAAGAAGGCACATATTTGGAAAAGAGCAACAGGTTTAGTAAACATAAAAATCATGTGGAGTTTGGCGGGCTTGCATGTGCATATATTGGAGTACCCGTAGATTTTATTTTCGCCAGTGAAGCACATATTAATAAAAAAATAATTATATAATATATATGTGTATATATGTATATATTATTATTGAGACAACGAGGGATGATATTAATATTAAGAACTTTTAACTGGCCATTTGAAAAATTTGAATATTAGTATTGTTAATATATTATTATCAATAATAACATTATTTGCTGCAATCATTATTATTTGAATCAACTTATTTTCTTTCAACCATTACTATTGCTGTTATCGCCGTCATATTTAGTGTTTGTCCTGATAAACTTGCTAAATCATCTTTCGCCTTAGTTGTCCAACTAGTCCTACCTGTTAAAAAAAAAACAAATCATGTTTGAAATCTGCCTTCCAATGAAAATTTAAAGATATAAAGGATATAGTAGAAAATGAATTGAACAAGGATTCACACAATCAAATCCATGGATTATTCTCATCAACTTTGCAATTTTTTAATGAACGTTATGCAATTGATTATTATTATAGTTGTTGTTGTTGTTGTTAATTTGAACCTCGTAGTAAAGAAAATTAAACTGTGTAACATGAGTACACTTTAAAACATCGAAAAAAAAAAAAGTCTTTATCACACCATCCATGTTCTTTCTTATCCTCCAATTTTGTCACCATTCACAAATTCTTCTCTAAGAAAAATATATATATATTAATAAATTACATAATCATTTTTCTGTTTTTAACATACATCAACCTTCTTTACGGAATAAAAAATAATAATTCATGCGTTGTTGTTGATTACTTGTAATTTCTTTTTGCGACAATTAATTTATTTCTCGTTTTTTATTGCAACAAAACCAGTCAAAGTGAATATTACGTCACTGGTCCCTAACTAATTTTAAATTTCTGTTAATTAAAGCATCAGAATTAATGATCAAAGGAATGTCAACATCGCTCGTTGATTCCCTGACCTTAAACAATGAATTTACGTCTCTATACAATTATATAAATATTATATAGAATTAAACAAGATTATATATATAATATTACGGCAGAAAAATTTCCTGATGACTCCATTAAAAGCTAGGGCACTCACCTAATTAATATGTCATTCTGCTAAATTTTCATCATTATTTGACAATAATCAACTTGATGACAATTCATATCTTTTTCATATTCTTCATGGTCATAGTAGTGATTCTGCTTGTTCTTTAGTAGGCGAAGGGAATCTTTTAATTGGCGATAATGATGACCAGACAGTAAGGACTTGGGATATCAAGATGAACGAATAAATCTGTGGATGATGCTGTTAAAGTTTGGAATCTTAAAGACGGAACAAAACTGGACAGTAAATGGTATCCAAAATGGTTTTCATTTTTCATTTTCCATTTTCCATTTTCCATTTTCCTGTATCCAATAATTAAATTTACTTTTTGCTAATAGGAACAGGATATTTGAATACTATCTACATTTTTCAATAGGTTACCTACGGACAATGCAGAACTTTATGTATTGGATCCCGATAACGGTGATATAAAAAAGTCGCTTTATACATTTGGTGGACTAATAAAATGGTTTTTATAAAATAGTAGCCGCAACCGATCAAGGCTTCTATATATATTTATTACAGTAGTGAAGGTGTTAAAAGATAATTTATCACGTGATTATTATACTTGTGGTTCTATATAACTTTTTTCAATGCTGTTGCAATTCTTTGCCCTATTTTTACTTTTGCTATTATTATGTTTAAAAATTAGGCCACTGACAGCCTCTGGCATTTAAATTGAAGATTGCTATTTAAAAGCATTACGGATTAGAGTTACTTCTATTTGAAACACTATATGTTAAAGGAATAAATCTAGTATTAACGTCATGAACAACATTACAGGTTTTATGCTAATAATCACACTCACTTGGTTGGTATATATCTTATAAGATAAAGAGAAACAAACGGGTGTCTATATAATTTTGAACCTGTCCTGACGTCCATCGATTGAATTTCATCACCTTTAACTTTTCCGACTTCTTTACTTATTTAACTTCTCCAACTTCCATTAATTCCGGATTATTTTTTCTATGTGCATCTATTCAAAATTATAAATCTTTGTTAAGATCAGAGTTAAACAAACAACAAAGATGTACGTACAAGAAAAACGAGAATATAACCAAACGTCTTTCCAAAAACGAGTACAATAAATTTCCTGCTTTAACAAGTAGTTCTTTTTTTTAACTCTATCAAAAACGTGTATGTCCGTCTGTATATTATATCTATCTGCATATTATATTGATTATCATAACTGGCCAAACCCATCTAAAAAATTCAATTAAATCATAAATATATTCATTCACAAACAATGTTGATTTTTAAATAGTAATAGTAATAGTATATGTAACGCAACCGTATCGGGATAACAAGACATGTAATTAGGCGTGAATATGCAGTGAAGTTAAAATTTTATGAAACAACTTTTAATTATGAGATTTGTTTAGCAATTCGATTTGACAAATTAGTATATTACAACCTCAAGCCTGCTGTATCTTTGGGTGATCACCTGGAGGTAGGATTTTATTGATGTATATGATCAAGCTGATACTTTCCCTTCGGGGGTGGACTTAACATCGAAGTTGTACCACATAACAATTTTATTTCTTGGCTTTAAATGTTTTTTTAGACCATCACAGTTCAAGCAAAATCTGTACATTCACCATATAAAGATGCTTTAAGTTGACTACCAAATTCATTATTGTTATTTATTAATTTTTAAGAAAAGAAAATAATAATTGGTAACGATAATAATAATAATATTATTATTGTACAGTATATCTTATTCTGACAAAGTGAACGTCATACGTGAATTGCAAATTCATATAGATTTCATTTCATCATGCGCACAAAATGTTAAATATCGGTATTTCTTCCTTCGCAAATGTAAGTAGCATTAACAATTTTTTATTTATCCATCTCGCATCGACGCAAGACATTTATTTATCTTTTTATTTAATATCAAATTTTTATATAACCATAATGATGATAAAAACAAATAATATTTATTATTTGAAATTTTTTAATAATAATATTTCTATTAGACAAGTTTTTATAAATACAGTGTTTTACAGCTATATGAACCAACAGCACATAGTGTTTTATTGGAGAGTATTCTTATATTTTTTGGACAAAGTTGTTTAAAGTTCATCCATACGATAAATGTGAAGATCATTTGTTGAGAGGCATTTCCTTACCGAAAGCTATGAATAAAAAATATATATGAATTGGACACTTATTGCCCATTTTATGATATCTTCATGAAAGATTGAAAACGCGTGACAAATTATGCGGGAAAAAGAACGCTCGTCAAAAGATCAATGCAGTAGAGTTCATTTAGAAAAGTCAAAATTTAATTATTCATAATAACAACCTACTCAAATTTCATAAAATAGATAAAATACCACGATGGAATATTCTAAATCCAACCCTTCCAAATAGCGAGCAAATAAATCCCATTTCCAGAATCGTTGCATCGCGATCACTTTATACAATCAGAATGCTTTCCACCTGAAGAAATAGCAAATTATTGTTACGAATGTTGTAAATTCAACGTTCCACATATGAATTTAATTTCATACTTGTTAGCAAATAAATCAGCTTTATAAAGCTTACTTGCCCATATCAAAAAATTATTACTTCTTTTATTTTGTATTCATTTAGAGAATTACTCTTTAATGT